CTCCAGACTAATGGACTTGTCCTTAATAATGCTTAAAAGCAAGTATCAAAAGAATCCAACTGATTCCAAGTAATCTGACTGAAAAATATGGCAGAAAAAAACAAAACCCCAACATTACTTAAAGGAATACACAAAGAAATCCAGCCAACAGTGTAAAATTAACAGACTCTAACATTCAAACAGAAATTACCACACAAAAAAGAGGCAGGAAAATACAACCCATTATCAGGAGTAAAGTGGGAGGGCAGTGTAACAGATGCAGAAATAACTACAATTATAGAATCAGTAATCAAAGATATGAAAATAGCTGTTATAAGCACACTCCACATGTTTAAGAAAGGAAAGGCATAAAAATAATGAAGAAAAAAATTTAAATTTATGCATTTTTAAAAGGCCAAAACCAAACTTCTAGTGATGAATAATACATCTGAAATGAACACGGGATGGGATTAACAGAAGATCAATGAATTTGAAGATAGCAGTGAACACTGTCCAAGATGAAACAGAGAATAAAGACCAAAAAAGGGAAGAGAACATCAGTAACTTACGGAAGAATAAAAATTGCTCTAGCATATATGAACAAGTCCAGCAAATGATAGCAAGTGTGGGAAGGGACACCAAAAATTATTTGAAGAACTAATGGTTGAAAATTATACAAATTTGATAACTGTAAATCCATAAATCTAAGAATTACAATAAAAACAGAATAATCTTAAAACTATGTCAGGACACATCAGAATATGAAGTCAGACAAGGAGAAATATTCATATATCACTTATATGTGGAAGCTAAAAAAATGACACAAATGAACTTTCCATTTACTCTTAATAAGGCTCTTCACTTGTAAAGCCTGCATGTCAGAACTCACCTTATATAAAAGAACTTGGCATGCTTTTGCCAGAAGTGTTACTTTCAAAAAGGAAAGGAAAATATAACAAAGAACCTCATTTAATCACCACACAGGAGCATTTTCTAATATAACAAAAGAAAACCAAGATAACTTTAACCAGATAAAAAACTAAGAAAGTAGTCTGCCAAAAGTCACACAAGAAAAGAAACAGACAATCTGAGTAAGCCTATACCTATTAAAGAAATTGAATCAATAATAACCTTCCAAAACAGAAAGCACTAGGGCCAGACAGGTTCACTTAAATTCTACCAAACATTTTTTCTAGTTATACTGAGGTAAGCCTGACATACCTCAGGTATGTCAGACAACACTGTGTAAGTTTAAGGTGTACAGCGTAATGACTTAACTTACATATACTGTGAACTTACATATACTGATCACCACAGTATTTCCTTGTGTTAAGAACTCTAACGATCTACTCTCTTAACAACTTCCAAATAAACCATACAGTAGTGTTAACTCTAGTCAACAGGCATATACCACATCCCCAAGTACTTAACTTACACCTTTTGACCACCTTAATCCAATTCCTCCCCTTAAGTTGTTTACATGTCTTGGCTATTATAAATAATGCTGCTATGAAGATGGGGGTGCAGTTACCTCTTTGACATGGTGTTTTAATTTCCTTTGGATATATTCCCTGAAGTGGAATTATTGGGTCATACGGTAGTCTACTTTTAGTTTTTTGAGGAACCTCCACACTGTTTTCCGTAGTGGCTACACCAATTTACAGTCCCACCAAGAGTGCACAAGGGTTCTCTTTTCTCTACATCCTTGCCAGCATTTCATCACTTGTCTTTTTGATGATAGGCATTCTAACAAGACTAACATCACTGACTCGATGGACATGAGTTTGAGCAAGCTCCAGGAGTTGGTGATGGACAGGGAAGCCTAGCGTGCTGTAGTCCATGGGGTTGCAAAGAGTCGGATACGACTGAGTGACTAAACTGAACCGAATTGTAACAAATGTAAGCTATATCTCACTGTGCTTTTAATTTGTATTTCCCTAATGATTAGCAGTGATGTGCACCATTTTCATGTCACTTACCTCGTTGCCTATTTGGAAAACTCCTTTGGAAAATGTCTATTCAGGTCTTTTGCCCATTTTTTAAATTGGGTTATTTGGGGGATTTTGATTGAGCTCTTTATATATTTTGGATACTAACTCCTTATAAGATACGTGGATTGCAGATATTTTTTCCCATTCCATAGATTATATTTCATTTTGCTGATCATTTCTTTTGCTGCATAGAAATTCTGTTGTTTGATGTAATCCCATCTGTTTATTTTTGCTGTGCTTTAGATGCTATATCCAAAAAATCATTGCCAAAACCCATGTCAAGGAGCTTTCCTCCTTGATCTTTGAGGAAGAAATTATACTAATACCCTACAATCTCTTTCAGAAGACAGAAGCAGAGAAAATACTTCCTAATTCATTCTGTGAGGCTAGCATTACTTTTAATACTAAAATCAAACAAAGACACTGCAAGAAAACTATAGAACAATATCTCTAATGAACATAAATGCAAAAATATTTAATAAACTATTAGCAAATCAAATTCAAAAATGTATTTATAAAAAATAATTACACACCATACCATGAAAGAAATAACTAATAAACTAGACTTTATAAAAATTAAAAATTTCTGCTCTGTGAAAGAAACTGCCAAAAAAAAAGAAAAGATAAGCCACTGACCAGGATAAAATATTTGCAAGTCATATCTGACAAAGGATTGTTACCCAAAATATACAAAGAACTATTAAAATGTAACAGTAAAAAAAAACAAAAAGCTTGACTAAAAAATAGGTCACAGACTTTTAAACAGACACCTCACCAAAACATATAAAAATATGTCTGACATTTTATATCATCATTAAAATGCAAAACTGTAACAGTGCCAAGCCACTACACATCTATCAGAATGTCCACAATCGAGAGCACTGACACCACCAAATGCTGGTGAGGATGTAGAGCAACGGAAATTCTCACTCACTACTGAATGTGAACACAACATGACATGGCTACTCTGGAAGACAGTTTAGCAGTTTTCCACAAAACTAAGCATCTTCCTACCATATGATCCAACAATCATTCTCCTTAGAATCTACCCAAGAGAGTAAAAGACACATGTTCACAAAAAAACTTGCACATAAATGTTTATAGCACCTTTATTATAATCGCAAAACTCGGAAATAACTAAGATATCTGTCAGTAGGTGTGGAAAATAAACTGGCACATCCAGACAATGGGATGTTATTCAGCACTTTAAAAAAATGAGTTATCGAGCCATCAAAGGACATGAAGGAAACTTAAATCTGTATACTAAGCAAAAGATAACCTGAAAAAGCTATATACTGTATGATTCCAACTGTATGACATTCTGTAAAAAGCAGAATTACAGAGACAGTAAAGAAATGAACAGCTGCCATGGGTTGGTAGTGGAGGGATGAAAAGGCAGAGCACTGATTTACAGGATAGTAAAACTATTCTGTATGGTATTATAATAACGGTTATACATTTGTCCAAACTGTGGACTATACAATATCAAGAGTAAACCCTAATGTAAACCATGGAGTCTGGGTCATAATGATGTGTTAATGAAGGTTTATCATTATAACAAATGTCCCATGCTGATGTAGAGTGTTGACAGTGGGGAGGTTGTATGTGTGGAAATGAGAGTAAATAGGAACACTATACTTTCTGCTCCATCTTGCTGTGAACCTAAAACTATTCTAAAAAAGTTTATTAATTAAAAATAATTGATAAGTGATATAAACAAGCAATTCAAAAAAGAAACTGAAATGGCCAGCTAAGACATAAAGACATAGTTATCTTTATAAACTAAAATGCAATACTGTATTTTTTTCACTCAGAGAAACAAACACTAAAAACATTGACAAACACTAAAACACTGACAACATTCAAGTGTTAGTGATGGCCTCGGGCAATGGGTTTTCACACACTGTGAGCTGGAATGTAAACTGGTATAACCACTTGGGAGAGCAATTTGACAGTACCCGAAATGAATTATGTATACACTTAAAACAATTCTACCTTCTACTTCTACACAAACACAAAAGAGAGATTCCACCACACGTGTACAAAATAATCTAAGATACTATACAACTACAGTAACATATTTTTTGAGTATATACACTCACAGATATGAATACGTGTATGTGCATGTATGTGTATTTATGTATTTTCAAAAGTACTGGAAAGATACACACTAACCTTATGACAGTAGCTGCTTTATAAAGGAAAATAAGACAAGAATACGAATAAAAACTTTACCTATATTGTTTGACTTTAAAAGTTTAGCAAAATGACAAAACATCAACTATTAATTCTAGATGACATTTAGGTAAATGCTACATAAGTCTTAGTATTTTTCTGTATTTTTATTTTTCTTCTTAGAAACTCCATTAAACATAAAAAAACCTTGTAATTTGAGTTATTAGATCAAAACAGTAATGTCCCCAAATCTATGGTATGACAGAATTATGTATTAATGAGGAGAATGATTCAGATTTTCTCTGATGGTTAAATACTTCCTGTCATGTGATAGAACTGGGTCAACCAAACGTAATCCACATCTCATTTCAGAAAACATAAATAGAACTGCTACAACAGTGGTCAAACTATAGACTGGTTAAGGATGCCAACACACGTGGTCATTTCCTTAGGACCTGTGTCAGCCCTTCAGTGAAGGAAGTGACACAATCTGCCTGAATCAATGCAAATACTGGTTTGCACTGAAGGGAACACTACAAAAGCTACATTCCTCCGAAAATAATGCCTGTTCCCTTCTCCTTTCCATAAAAATAAGGTCATCAGAAGAAGGTATTCAATAATAATAAGTATATGATATACTTCTAGAAAGGAAAGAGCTCTACTAGACTCCTGTTCTAGTTTAACTCAGTATGTCTTTATCTTAAATATAAAAACGTTAAAGAATAAAGTAATAATTTCACATACACACAAGCACAGATTGCTCACCCCAATCCCTACTCCTTGAGATAAACTCAATGTCAGTCATATACATATCACACAACTCATAATTTCATGAAGAATTGATATAGTACTTACTAAATGTCTTACAGATGTCAGAAACAGCTTTGAAGACTCTATCAGAGAAATTCACTTTCACCTTCACATACTTCATGTTGGGAAGTTGCAGGCGGAGCAGCTTGTGCTGGGGGGTGAACTGAAGCTTAGCATCTGCCTGAATGCCGTACTTATCCAAGGTCCAATGCGTCTTGAGAAGCCAAGTTCTCTTCTTTTCCCACCACAGAGCATGGTCAGACCAATCTTTTTTCACATCTATTAAAAACACAAACGAAACACTTAAAAATCTGCAGGACTGCCTTGAGAGAAATTACAAGCAGAAAACTAAGTAACTAGGTATTTAATATGAACAATTAGTTAAATACTAAGTGCCCGTTATATGATAAGTAATACTGAAGAAATACTAAAAGAAATAGCAAACAGCTGAGAAAACACTCTGCCCTTGAAAGCTAACAGAGAAGGCAGCAGCGGCAGAATACGAGGGTAACCACTAATGGTTAAAGGAGACACACACATGACAGAGTAAGCACCCTCTGAAAGCATGCAGAGAACAAAGAGGACGCTGGGGATTGGAGTCAAAAGGATGAATAAATAATGAGATGGAGTTGGTGGATTCTTAGCCCAGCTTTGAGCAATGGACAATATTCTGATGATAAAGCTGGTGAGAAAGCTGAGGTGTATGAGGCTGCAGAAGCATGCGGAGGCTAAGAGGTGGTGAAAAGTAAGATGGGACGAAAATGAACAAAAACCACTATCCTAGGTAAAGAAGAGCCTGGAAAAGAAAACATCCTGGGGTAACACTTAGCTTGAGAGAAAACAAAAACAAAAAAACTACATCCCAACCACACACCCAACTATATTCCAAGAAAAGTAACATTTTCCCCCCAATATATTTTGGCACAAGAAAAAACATTAATACCTGTTAAACTATTTAATACTCATATACAATTAAATTAAAAGAAACTAAATAAAGAAAGTGTTGGACTATAAAGAGAGCTAAGTGCTGAAGAATTGATGCTTTTGAACTGTGGTGTTGCAGAAGACGCTTGAGAGTCCCTTGGACTGCAAGGAGATCCAACCAGTCCATCCTAAAGGAGATCGGTCCTGAATATTCATTGTAAAGACTGATGTTGAAGCTGAAACTCCAATACTTTGGCCACCTGAGGTGAAGAGCTGACTCATCTGAAAAGACTGATGCTGGGAAAGATTGAAGGCAGGAGAAGGGGACAACAGAGGATGAGATGGTTGGATGGTGTCACTGACTCAATGGACATGAGTTTGAGTAAACTCCAGGACTTGGTGATGGACAGGGAGGCCTGGTGTGCTGCAATCCATGGGGTCGCAAAGAGTTGGACACGACTGAGTGACTGAACTGAACTGAAGTAAAGAAAAGTGTAACTTACACAAGATTTGGCTACTCCCAGATACAGCAGATCATAGCAATAAATTTACAAATAAAATCCAATTTCAGCTGGTTATTAAAGTAGCAATAAAAGTAAAGAATGTGGGGATCAATTATATGATGAACTAAGAACCAAAAAGGGGGAACAGGATATTGAAACAACAACAACATAGAAAAACAAAGCTTTCCGGGGGGGGGGGGGGGAAGAAAACTATCATCATGCTTCTGATATAAAGCTCATTTTAATACAGTTTTAAAAAGAACTGGTCTATTTTAAGAAGATAAGTTTAAAAGTATATACTAAACCTGAAACTTTTTTTAGCACAACTTGTCTCCCTGAAAGCCTCAGATAGTAAAACATCAAATCACCACACTATGAGCCTAGAAACACCTTCTATAATGGTGAAAGGTAACGGATATAATTCTCCTCATTACGGAAGAAACTGATCACAAGGGGGAAAAAGACCTTCAATTTCCCCAGATAGTAAAAAAAAAAAAATATTTTAATGAGTAAGTACTTTAACAGGAAAACTGTTACTTGTGATTTTACTGCATTTTGAAATTTCAGTATTTGTTTTGGGAAAGCCCTGTCAATTATGTTATTTGAAGTTTGGCTACAGAAATACATATTTTACAACTACTTACTTGTGACACCATGTATTCAATATATAGTACCCGGCCTCTCAAATTACTTTCCAGCACAGAATTTATCAACTTTTAGAAAACAGTCAATCCAATCTGGCTCACGAGCAAATAACGAAGGCTGGGACCTTTTTGTATACTATGAGGTAAACGTCTCACATGTTACAGATGGTTTACTGTTTTCTTTAGGAACAAAGAGCCGAGGACAGGAAAAGATCACTTGTAAAGAATGACAGTTTAACCAGTGCAGAGTAAGGCTGAGCGGAACTGAAGGAATGGCAGATTGGTATCTAATACTTTCTTCTTCAACCCACTCACTTCTGCTACCAATGTCAATCATTAAGGCGGCCACAACATATATTTCCAGTGCAGGGAGAGAGGAAAAAGCTGTACGCTGCTAATAATAATAGTTTTGTTAATACTGACTTAAGTCATTTGGATTTCCTTTGTCTTAACTCAAAACACAACCCTAAAATAACTCTGGGGCAAGCAGTTTATTGAGGTGGGATGGGGGGAGGCGGAGATCCCAGGAAGCATACCTGAGGGGATTAGGAAAAGTGAGACATGGGAGAAAAGTCTATTAAGAACTCATTAACTTCTGTGGATAACTGGAGTTCAGTCCTGCAAGAGCCCTTCTGAGGAATCACAAGAAACATGACTTAGAATTCTCCTCCTAAGAGAAAGCTGGGGGATCTATCCAGTTCGTTGAGGGTTGCTCTTAGGGCCACTAAATTCCCAGCATTTCCCCAGCTGCCATGCATGGCATGGCATGCAGCTGACCACCCTGCACTCAAGCACTTAACTCACCAAATCCTAAATATTTACTACATGGATTTTTACAGAAAGACTTCATAGGCCCAGATTCAGTAAAATCTCAACCTTGCATCAATTAGGCTTCAAACGCTGACCTCAGAAACAAGTACTTCCTATGATCTTCCTCTTTAGAATCTAACCCTGCCCATCAATTCCACCTTGGTTTTTTACACCAAAGGAAGAGCCCCCCCTGCATCTATTAAGAATAAACATAGGGGAGAAGGACATGTAATCTAAAGATTATGTACTAGAAACACTATGAACAGTCTGTTTACCCACAGAAAGAGAAACATTCTCTTACTGACTGGAAACACTGGTAAGATCAGTTTTTTTACCCACAGAAAACAGTGGGTAAGTATCAATATAGGAAAAAAAAATTACTCCAAATAAAAACAGAAACAGGACACCAGGAAAGATCTGAAGTGTCAATACTGCACACACCAGCAAACAAAAAGAGAAAAGCAGGCATTCTGACAGTAAAAAAAGGAGTCAGTGTCAGAAGATGGAATAGTTGAAGGGACTATAGTCCAGTGGTTAAGAATCTGCTACCAGTGCAACTAGAGATTGCATCTGTGTGATGCAATGAAGACCCTGCATGCCGCAGCCAAGACCCAAAGCAGCCACAGATAAATAAGATGGAATGATTAGCCTGTGATGTTTGTTCCAATAGTATAATTTTGGGAGCATTCTTGAAGACTCAAAATGCCAGCAACCTAATCAGCACTAATCACAAGATAATCACTACTATAGAAGAAACAAACAGCATCTGTAAAATATTCATTAATTACACAAATATCTACTGAACATTTACCAGAAAGCACTATGCTAGTGCTAGAAATACAGTGATGAGAAGAACAAAGTTCCCACATCTTTGAAGAAAGCCAATATGACTCGAAATGAAGAGGTGAAACACCAGAAAGCTTGGCAGAAGCCCAGTATACCATAAGGCTGTTCAGCTTTTACTCTTTCTGAGTATGAGAGAAGCCTCTAGAGCAGTGTTTTTCAGCCTGTTTGGCATTAGAATTATCTGAGCAACTTTTCAAATAGAGTAATGCCTGGACTCAGCCCAGACCACTTTGGGTGTGGGTCTAAAACTTGATTTTAAGCAGGGGAATGATTTTTTATTTCAAAGTCATCAAATAATTTTGAAGAATGCAGGGGCAGGGGTGAGCATAAGTGAAATTCAGAGGCCATGCAAGAAGTTAGCATGGGAGTGGACAGGATGAAAGCCTGAATTACAATGGTTGGGCAATGAGGAAGTAGAAATAAGGAATACAGACAACTTTTCCTGTTCATTTTGTTATACTGGGGAATAGAATCATGGATGGTAGATGAACAGAAAGGTGATGGCAAGTCCAAGTCTTTTTTTAAGAACAAAAGGTATTTCAACATTACTTAAATAGTGATAATCCTGTAAAACTTAAAACACATTTCCAATTATTCTTTAATTTGACTGCCCCTCCACAGAGAGTCACTGTGTCATAGTGTCATTTCAAAACTTGTTAGAGGCTTGACTGAACTCTCTCAAATATGCAAGATAACATTTTCCTATTTACTAGAAAATCTTTCTTTAGTTTTGGCTCTGTGTTACACTGTGTATCTTATTTTGAAGCTAATATCTACACGTCATGTCCCACAACTGGCTCCACTACAGCTATCACAAGAATATATTTAATCTATTCAGAAGTAGCAAAAACAGCTTTACACTCTGATGAAAATCCTGAGAAAGATGATGATAAACCAATTGAGAATCATTCACCAAGGTAAACGTAGAGCTAACTACACCTCAAAAATACTTAACTATACAAATTGTGTGTGTGTTTGTGTGTGTGTAAAGCTGTGTATCTTAATGTAATAGCTCATTCATTTCAACCCAGGCAGATTGAAACATTACAAACTTAAGGCCAACAGGATCCAAGATAGTGCTGGGAAATACTACCGTGTTTCTTCTGTTCACCACTGTATCTCAAACTTGCCAACCCTGCTCAAATGCCTGTGTACCCTCCTTCTCCTCAGCAGACAACCATGGATTCTACTTCAGCAAATAGAGAAGCCATCAGATTGAACTATTTCACCTAAGAGCCAACCAAATGTACAAAGCTTCTTGCATCTGTACCGGTATGGGTCTACTGCTGTTGAGTTATGATGAAAATGTCTCTCCTCCTAATTATCTGAAATCAATCCAGCTACCTATGCTCTGTTGCCATTCCCACCTTCTAGAAACCATGCACTTCTCACTCTGGCTCCTAGGTATCTCATCCATTCTTGTGACTTTACATGGCCTCTATGCACTTACCTTCCTAGTTTTTATTTCCAGCCTACCCTTCTGCTATTGGAGAAGGAAATGGCAACCCATTCCAGTACTCTTGCCTGGAAAATTCCATGGACTGAGAAGCCT